GCCTGGCCATTTTTTGGTTGCAGCCGTCATTGTTGTTTGGCGGGTCCGGGCTGGAGATTCGAACTCGCCACCTTAGGTGTATGTGGCTGGCGCCTTAGCCGGTTGAGCTATAGGCGCCGAGCCCCATAACCCATTTCATCCTCTAAAACACAGTGAATTTTCGATCTTAGGTGTACCAAGATAATTTTTAAAGATCATTAATTAAATTCTTTTCGAAAGACGTTCCAAGCACAGTAAGTTCTTTTTTTCTTCCTTTTTTTCCCCTTTGGATCAACATAATTTAAGTGTGCCCCGGAAGTTTACCTGTAAGCGTGCCGTGAGATACAAACGGTTGAACAACATTTTATCCCCATTCTTGGTCTTTCTCCCTTCACAGAACTTGAAATTGTTTACATTTAGTCCGCGTTACTGTTTTTACGTCCAAGGGTTATCTCCGTTTCACTTTCAGTATTTCTGGCATTTCCTGTCCCAACAACCAGCTCTGCCTCCCTCTCCGGGAAGAGGTCAAGGGCTGGCCCGGCCTAGCTGCTCCCCTGTCTAACTCCAAGCGTCCATCCACCCCGCGCGGCTCCTGCCTGTCCCCAGGGGCTCCGCTGCTGGAGGCCCGGCGGCCCCGCGGCCTCCCGGCTCCCGGAGCAGAGGAACCCTCGGACACGGCCCAAAGCTGGTAAAGATCGGACACCGGCGCGGGCGCCGCGCAGCCCGCCGGACGTACCTGGTGCAGCCTCGCGCCCGCCTCGGCCCACCGGGCACGCAGGGTGCGCTCCCGGAAGCCGCGAGGGCTCCCGCAGTCGGCTGCTCCGCCCTCGGCCGGGAAGAGCTCGTCGCGCACTGTGGCGCCGCCGCAGCCGTCGGCCGCCTGACCCAGGTAGCGCTCCAGCTGCCGGCACAGTTCCTGCAACGCCGCCTCGCCGGGACCCGCGCGCGCCGGCCACACCAGCTCCCACAGCCCGAGCCCCAGGCCCCAGGCGCCGCGACCACCCGCGTCCAGCTCCGGCGGCAGCCGCGGGAAGCAGCGCTCCAGGGCCGGCCACAGCGCCGCCAGCTGCCGGTGCGCGCCGCGGAGCCCGGCGGCCGAGAGCAGGCCTGCCCAACTGGGGCGGGCCTCGGCGGCCTCGCGCTCGGGCCGGCTCCCCCGGTGCCACTGCCGCTGCGCCGTGCGGTCGTGACAGGTCACGGCGAACTTGCCCTCCGCGTCGTTCCAGGCCACCAGGAAGCGCAGCTGGTGCCTCTCGGGCTCGGCGAAGAGGTCCTCGCGGACCGGCACCCAGCCCTCCAGACTGTCGGGCTGCTCCAGTTCCATGGCCGCCGGCGCTCAGCGGCCCCAGGGCTCGGCGCGTGCGGGTCCGGCCTCCTTGTGTCCCCAACCACTGGACCGCCCGAACCGAAACATTTTCCGCTGAGCTCTAACCCGTGACAGCGCCTCCATCCCCGCCTCCGCCTCCGCCTCCGCACTTGGATTGGCTGAGTGTGCGGCTGCGGGTCTTCCAGCGGCGTCCGGGATTGGTGGGGGACAAACGGCGGGTCAGCGACAACCAATGAAAAAGTTCAAAGGGCTTCCTCAACCCAGTTATCTCCAACCACCCCTGCAACCCAGCCCGGCAACCTGGCCCTGCGCCTGGGAGTTACCATTCTTGCCTCACCTTGTCGACCTTTGTGCATACGGACGTTGGAAGATATTTGTTAAATAGACGAGTTATTGTCTTGGCTTCCTGCCCTAAACTGTGGACTTCCTGAGAATAGGGACCCACCTGATTTTGTCTTCTCTCGGGGCGCTGTTGAATGCGTGGTTCTTGTCCTCAAGAATGTCACAAATGTGCTGGGGAGAGCAAACATAAACTGAATCTTTATTGAGGACGTCTCAGTGCCAAGCACTGGGTAAAAGCCACGAACTTAATTTTGTCAATTCAATAAGCTTTCATTGAGTGTCTTCTTCTATGGCCAGTATTTCAGAGCCGCGAGGTACAGGGAGAATCCAAAAAGATGTCTCTGCGGGCAGCGCCTCTGGCTCAGTGGGCAGAGCGCTGGCCCCATATACCGAGGGTGTCTGGTTCATAACCCAGCCCTGGCCAAACTACAACAAAAAAATAGCCCGGTGTTGTGGTGGGCGCCTGTAGTCCCAGCTACTCCGGAGGCTGAGGCAAGAGAATCGCCTAAGCCCGAGAGTTGGAGGTTGCTGTAAGCTGTGTGATGCCACGGCACTCTACCGAGGGCGACAAAGTAAGACTGTGTCTACAAAAAAAAAAAGAAATGTCTCTGACCTCGGGAGCTTCCCATCTTCCAACCAGTGTTTAAATAAAATCTGCTTTCTAACTCTTCATTTTAGAGATGGAGAGAGACCCAGAAACTTGTCTTAGGATACACGACCTTTCAGAGACTAAATAAGATCACCTGGCTACTAAAGACCTATTTAAAGAGCTACCGGAGGCTCGGCGCCTGTGGCTCAAGTGGCTAAGGCGCCAGCCACATACACCTAAGGTGGCGGGTTCGAATCCAGCCCTAGGCCCGCCAAACAACAAT